TTGCAGTTGAGGGAGGTACAGTAAGCATAAAGTTAGACATCAGATACTTGAGAAGAAAAACCCTTTTTGCTGTTTGACACATTTATTGAATTCTACCTACTGCATGTGTTGGAAGATAGTTCTTGTACCCAGGGAGCTTAGAAACTTGCAGAACATTTATTACAAAAAAGAAGAGGTGACAACAGTCCTGAAACTTCAGAGATCAGATCTGATTGAAGAAGAGAGAGCTCTTTGGGTTTGGAAAAGACTTGAGTCAGTGTAGATGGGGGAGGGTGAGAAAAAGCTTTATACCGCTGAGTGGAGAGGAGTCTGAGTCCTTAGGTACCATGTTAATGGATGGAATAGTGAATAGTGCAGTTTGTTCAGAATTATCCCTGAGTCAGTGTGTCTCCATGCAGTTTAAAAACATATCAGAGAAACTTATGATTTAAAGATTCTGTAAAAGTGTGTGACCCCCCCCCCCCACCGCCCCAGGGGAGCTTCCGTGCATATCTGTTGTAAGGGAACGAATGACTAGTCGTCCATGTATGGCAGGCTCTGTTGCTGCCCTGTAAATTCCCAGTTTGGATCGGATGAATTTGTAGAGCTCATCAAGTGTAAGTGGTACTTTTCGATCCATTCAAGCTTTTTTTCTGTCTTGAAAATTTCAGATTGGAATCCAGGACTTGAAAAATGTCAGTTGTCTAAATACAGTACCATATTGTGATAAATATAGCTATTGAAATTAAAAAAAAAAAAAAACTCTTCACAAAACTTTATTTTAATATTCACAGCAGAACTTTTTGGGGAATGTTATCTGAGAAACAGGACCATTTTATTATCAGAGCTGACTATTAATTAGGGTATTGTTTCAGATATAAAAGTTGATCTGCCACTGAAATTCTATTTGAATATGTATAGTTCCAAGCTTGCTTTGTGTATTTAATAACTTTAGTACCATAATTACTCTGTTTACAATTAAATTTTGGTGGATATGCTAATACAGAATATGGCAGTGAGTGATTTCAGCAAAGGGCAGTGCTGATTTGCATCTTGATGTGCTTTTCACTTGCATCTGCATTTCATTTAATATCACTGGGAAGAGAAATGGTCAGATTATGTAATGGATTTTGTGACAGTGAAGTTTTCCTTCTCTTTGAAACCTCCTGTAAGCTACCACGATAGTGGATTTGCTTTGTTCTGAGTGGGCAGATAGTGATGCCGAAGGGTTGAATCTGGTTGAGGCTTGTGCCCTCCAGCGTATTGTTTAGTAGGAACCTGATGTAGGTACGGGCTTCATCATTAGAAGGAACCTGTAATGTATTGAGGTGATTGTAGAATTCAAATTAGTGTTGTAAGTTCTTTAGGAAAGTCACTGAGGAACTGAGGCAAATGCTTATGGTTGTAAAACTTAATAGTTTTTGAGCAGGGGAGTCTGGTTTTAATACTTAAAACTTTTTTCTTTTCAGAAATCACCTGAAAAGGAACAAGGAGATTGAGAAACACAGCTCTCATATTCTCTGAGGGGAAATCAGAGGGGTGGCCAAACGCTGTGCCAGTCAAATGGGGGTGTGGCAGGATGTGGAAAGGGGGTGCGCTAGGGGCTGAGACCCAGATCTTGGACCAAGCTGGCGGCAGAGGGGTGTTCTTCAGAGCGAGTGGAACACAGCCGGTTGAGGCACAACCAGTAAGCCTTTGTTTAGAAGAACAGGAAATGGGTATTGCCAGAACAACTTTATATGAAAAAAAGAGAAAGAAAGAAAAAAATAATAACTGTGTATGAGCTTTTTTTGTCCTTAGTTTACTTAGGCCGTATAGTATTTTTAAGTTCCTCGAACCCTGTGGATCTCCCTAATATGCATGCGTGACCGAGGAAAAGAAAAGAAACTGGATAACCATTTGGAAAATCCAGGATTCCTACCTCTGATTATCTTATACCAGTATAAGTGTAAACAAATCAAAATTTTACCAGCAAAATATGAAATAAACTGCAAAATAACTAAACCGTAATAAACCGTACAATAACTAAAAGAAGACATGATATTTGCAAAGAATAATTTGGGTGGGGACTTTCCAAGGATGACATAAAGTCCAAAAGCTAAAAATAAACAATATCAAAAGACAAACAGGGAAGACTATTTGCAATATCAAGAGCCAATTTCTTCACTAGAGAATATATAAGAAGTGCCTATAAATAAAAAAGCAAAAGGCAACCAATAGTTCTTAGAAAATGAGGTACAGATTTTACTTAGGACTGCGTGGGTGTGTGTGTCTGTCTGATTGGACAAGCTCATAAAATATGAAAAGATTCTCAGTTTTGGTCCCTTGATAATTGTTAATTATAGGAACAGCAGTTTTTTAATGCTTAAAACCATAAAATATTTCACAATACAGAAGACCTTATTAAGCAGATACAGACTTAATGAATTATAAGGTACTAATAGAACCACCACCCATGTCATGAAATAGAACCACTGGCCTGTCCCCATCACAACTTCTTATACTTTCTGAAAGTAACTTCTGTCTTTTATGGCAATCACTTCCTTTTCTTTATCGGTTTACCACTCAAATGTGCGTCCTGAAACACCGTGGTACAGATTTGCCTGATTTTGTTTTGTTTTGGCTGTGTTCTTTCAAGTATTTCCGCATCTGGCTCTCTTCTCTCCCATCTCTTCTTTTTTTCCCTTTATCTGTTGAAGAAATGGGATTATATGTACTCTAGGGTTTCTCACCCTTGGGACTTTGCTGACTGCATTCCTGTGTTATAGTTTATCATGTTCTACTGTTCTTTTCATATCCTGTGAATCAGGACCAGGCTTGATCAGATTCGGAGTCTATTAATTTTTTATTTTTCTTTTTTGGCAAGATTACTTCATAGGTAATGGCGTGGTCTTTTATCAGGAGACGTATAATGTCTGGACATTTCTCATATTTTGATGTTAGAAACTATCAGTGCTCAGTGTCTGGATCCATTAATTCATTAGGAGGTGGAAATGTGTTAACCTAAAACCATCCTTATTCATTTATTAGCTGAAATTTTTCCATAAGGAGATTTTTCTCTTCATCTAATATTTGGTTACGCAGTGGTACAATTCATGTAAGAAAGAGGGTAAGTGCTTGATTCTTTTCCCTCCTTCCTTTTTTCTTTTCTTTTCTTTCTTTCTTTTTTTTTTTTTAAGCAGCTTTCAAAATTGAGTGGTTTCCTATTATTCTCTAGTGGTGACCGCTTAGGTTTTCTGGCTATTAGAAACTCTTGGATTTACTTCCATTTTATGTGTTTTAATCCATAGTGGTTATTATCTTTATTGACTCAAATTGGCCCATCTTTGGTCAGTGGAAACACCTAAGTTGGCTTCTTAGACATATCTGACATCACTCTAGTAGTTTTTGATAGCTTCCTTGACACCTAGAAATGACAAGATGTTCCAAGTCTGTCTTGTACGTTTCTGGTTTCACATCTGGAATCAGTCCTCTCTTCAAAGAATCTGGTTTCTTTTACAAGAAACTGTAGTTTTAAGAATACAATTTGTATACTAGAGGTACTCATTACTACTAGGTTGGTTATTTGTTTCTAAGCTCTTTTTGTGGCTCGGGCTGGGAAATGGAAAGCGGTGTGTGTGTGCACGTGCGCGTGGTGTGCTTGTGCATGTGTGCTTTTTTAAAAGATAAAATAACTTCTGAATTAAAAATATTTCCGAATAAAGCATTTTTAGCTTTCACTCTTCTTTCATTTCTTTCCCCTTTCTTTTGTATTTGAATCTCGATTTCTAAGGACACAAGGGGGTGACTGAATTAAAATATCATGGAATTATTCACTCGCATTATTGCACAGATACGTGTACAGTAACCTTCGTTTACAAAACCAAGTATCACTTACGGTGTGATTATTGGAGAGTTGGGTTTTTTTGGCATATGTTCTCCCATTTTTTACAGTCGTACTGTATCTACTTCGTCAGAGCATATACCCATTATGTATTCTGTCCTCTTCTTACAGTCCTTGTTGAGTCTCATTCTACAAATCAGTGTCTGCTTACTGATCACTACCAGTTCTTACAGTGACGTTTCTTTAGGCATTTCGGATATCTAAGGCTTGTTCTCTGATGGATTCTTAATTCTCTTTTTCTATGTTGAGAACGCTCTGGTCTTTATACTTGAAATTTGACTGCGTATAAAATCTTCGGTTCTTGTTTTCTTTGTCTTAAGTATGTTACTTCCCCTTTCTTTTCTGGCATAAGTGTCACCGTCAGAGTGACGACAGTCTGATTTATTTTCCTTATAAAAGATCTGCTTTTGGCCTGGATGCTCAAAGAATACTTCTTTTCCATGGAGTTCTGTAATTTTATGAGGTGGTATCAGAGCGTGGGTTGTCCTGGGCTGATTTCTCTGTGTATGGTGTGAGATGTGAGCTTTCATTTTGTAGTTTTTCTTTTTTATTTTGTTTTTTAAGTTTAGGAAAGTCTTCTTAGATTAAAGCATTTTAGTATTTTGTTCTCTTGCTTTGATTTTCTTTGTTACATGTTCACTGGCTTTTCTTTTTCTGCTTTCTGAATCTATGATTTTCTCTTGAAATGTTTCTCTTTTTCACCCTTTTTGATTTTTAGAATTTTTTCCTTTTCACTTTCTATCTATTAAGTCACTGTGTTTCAGTTGCCTTCAGTCTGATGTTCCTTCTAGTTTAGTTTTCATCTTTTAAATGATTGTGACTTTAGTTATTTCCTTCTACCGCTTAGTCTCTGAGTTTTTCTAATTCTGATCTGTTAATCTTTCTATATAAATTTTTTAAGTTTGTATTGAAATATTGGTTCAGAGCTCTCGACTTTTTGGCAAGCCTGTTTTATGTATTTTTCTGCAGGAACTTTTAAAAAAATTCCGTTTGCACAGACTAGGTTTTGTTCCTTTTCTGCTGCTGAGTTCTTCAAGCAGTTATTTTTCTTTTAAGTGCGATTAGTTCTAGATGGTATAGTTCAAGTTGACTTTATGTCATTTTCTAGAGCCTCCTCTTCTGTTTTGTTCTGTTTTGTTTTGGTGTAGTGTTCCAAAACATGGAGGCTAACTTGACATATCTATCTTTGTATTTGAACCTTCTTTTTCCTTTCTTTGTATTATCTTTGTGATGCTCATTTTGGATTCCGTTCCCAGCCCTTTCTCACCCACCCGGGGAGGTTTTGACCTGAGAGCTTTTCCACTGGTTGGTCCTGCGAGCTGTGGAGGCCAGCCTGCTCCACCCCTCCAGCAGAGCCCCACACAAGCTCAGGGCTGGAGAACTCAGGGCTGGAGTGCGCACGGCACTTCCCGGCTTCGGCTACTGTTCCTACGTTCTCTCTGTGCTTCTGAGAAGTGACTTGGGGTCACTTGGGGATTCTCAAATTCACCAGAGACACCACCCTTGCTTCTGCTGCTTCCCTCACCGCTGCTGGTAGCACGTAGGTCATCTTGCTCTAAGCGACCTCTTCACCCATTCCCATTTTGCGGTTTTGTAGGGAATAGTGTCGCCTAGTTTTGTTGTGGTTGCTGTCCACTGGGTTTGACTCCTGCTCTCCAGTTGTCCTATTTGGCTTTATGGGGGAAATCTTGGGAGATTAGACGTGTGCACAGCCAGCCCTACCGTCTTCAGTGGCAGCGAGACTTTGGACGCCGTGGTGTGTTCAGGGATTCGGCAGACTCACAGTGACGGCTGACTCTGTGGGACCGCTTTCAGGAAGGAAGAAAAGTTATTCCAGACTGCATTAATTGTTACAAGTAGGCTGTAGGAATAAAACTCAGAGTAAAAGCTAACCACTTAATTTGGAGGAAAAAACACACTTTTTGTTGATTACAATTTATATTGAGTGGAAGGTGAGCTAGCATATTTCTTGAAATATGGTCACTTTGGGAAAGAAATTCCAGTAAAACCCAAAAGATAGTATGGTTACTCTCTTGAGTTACAGAAAGAGGAAAAGTTTTTTTTTTTTTTTAAACTCATTTTAAATTGTCTTAGCTTCTATAAGGAAATCATCAAATAGGAGATTACTCTGATGATTTGTTACAGTGGGGTAAATTCAGAAGGCATCCATTTTAGTATTTAGAAGTGCTATGCCTTGGTTTGTTCTTTTTTTTTTTTTTTTCTTTTTTTTTTTGGGTCTTGGTCATTTCTTGCACTCAGTCTACAACCATAGCTATAAAACTCACCTTGTCTGGTGTACTGAGTCTGGTCTGTTGTGGTTTACACTGAAACTCCATTCAGGAAGATTTTACAGTGATTAAAAATACACATTAAGAGAGCTGTTTGATAGGAAGAAATAATAGCCACACTCATTTATTTTGAAGATTTATTATTTATTATTTGTTAGAGAAGATTTCGACAATGAAGGAGGATTGGCATCCTATAGGAAAAATTAAATTTAAAAATCCCCAATAAGTTAATAAAGAGCATTTGCATGTATGGAGTTTATGTATGTGGTGTGATAGTGGGTGGATATTTGCTAACAAAAATCCGCATCTAGTATTGTGTGTATGTACTTAGGGTATCCAGGCTCCAAAGCAAACCACCTTACATATTGTAAGTTGTCCGGTCTTAACAAACCTGTCTTTCACCTGAAGAGCCATTTCAGGTGTTGCAGACTATAGCCTCTGAGAAAGTATTTGTTTCAAAATATTTATTTATTTATTTGAGAGAGAAAGAGAGAGTGAGAGACAGCACGAGAGGGGGAAGGGGCAGAGGCACAGAGAGAAGCAGGCTCCCTCCTGAGCAGAGAGCCAGACAACCGCGGGCCTTGATCCCAGGACTCTGGGATTATGACCTGTGCCAAAGGCAGGTGCTTAATCGTCTGAGCCACCCAGGTGTCCTCGAGAGAGTATTTGTTTTAAATCTTTTTCAATTAGTAGTTGTAGAGCTGAGAGTTTGAGCCCTCCTCGTCCACCCCCCCAGTGCTTTCTCTCAGTGAGGTAAGCTACGTCTCAGGGCAGTTAAAGCCCAGAGAGAAGTGACTTGGTTACGGTCACCAGACTAACTGGTGTCATAGCTGCACCGGAATCTGGGGCTTTTGATTCTAGCCCGGGGCGGTTTACACTACAGCACACTGCTTTCTCTCAGTGTTACGTTCAACTTGGCTGTGAGTGAGAAAGGTGAATCCAGATTCACTGCCAAAAGCATAGGGGTGAGAAGGGAAGCCTGGAGCGCTGGGTGTCGCCAGCTTTGCCTTTTCTGTGAAGCCAAATGACCAGACAGCCACCATTCCCTTGTCGCTGTTCTGGAACGTCCTCTCCTCCACTGTGGTGACTTGTAACGGTGGCCCACGGCGTTGAGGCTGTGGAGCCAGGTTAGTCCTCAGCAGATTTCTGTTGCTTTGCCACCTTCTAGGTGCATAGCCTCGGACAGCTTGCTAAGCTTTGCCGAGTCTCCATTTCCTCATCTGTGAAGTGGGATGATGATGTGATCTTCATGGAGATGTGAGGATGGGTCGGGGGCTGTGTATAAAGTAGCTGCTCTCGTGTCGTACGTCCTCTTCCACATTTGAAAAGCGCCTTCATAGCACAGAGCTTTCCTTAGTGGAAGATGTTTTCAGCACTTCGAGGATTGTAATTCTGAGTGTCGCTTTCTTTCGTTTTATAGTGAAAATGCCTCGTGTAAAAGCCGCTCAAGCTGGAAGACAGGGCCCTGGAAAGAGACGACTTGCGGAAAACTTTGCCCCTGGGGAGGTAATCACTGACATGACGAAGAAGGAGTGGAAGCTGGGCTCTCCCATTGGCCAGGGCGGCTTTGGTTGTATATATCTTGGTAAGTGTAACCAATTCTTAAAATAGTTTCTCAGTTGGGAGAGGTTCCTAATTATCTACATTCAACTTAATACTGTATGATTTGGCAAAAATGTATCAATGACACAGGAGTGGACAAAAAGTTGATTTAGTCACAGTAGAAAAAGAAGGTGATATATCTGCAGTATTGTGCTTTAGATTTTAAAGATACTGTGTAAACCTGCCCTGGTGCCGCTCATTTTCAGGCTCGTTTGGATCCTCACTGCGGCAGTGACTCTTCTCTGCTGGGTCTTGTCCCTTTGCATCCGTTGTCCACGCTGTGGCTTGAGTGACCCAGCCTAGTTGAATTTCTGGAATGGCTCCCCCCGGCCCTGGGGATAAAGTCGCAGACACAGGAGAATGGCATAGAGACCCTCCCTCTCGTTGGTCCCTCCGTAGCTTTAATCTTCATCCCTCGCATTCCCTCAGGGTCTGCGCTTTGGCCGTCCTGCTGCCCTTTGCCTCTTGATCTCCATATGTGATGCTTCTCTGGTTTCATTTTTCCCAAGCTCAGGCTAGGGCGGGTACTGTCAATTTATAGGCCCTTTGTGTCAGCCCTTTCACAGTCCTTTCCACGGTGTGTTGAAATTACTTTTCCGTCTCAGCAATAGGGCATCTCTTCTTACTGTGTTCCTCGTGCCTGGCATATTTTATAACACGATGTTTGAATGAATTATCAAGCTTCCTTTTCCCCCTTTCCTCATTTGAATTGTGCAGTATTATTGGGATACTATCCTTATTTTGTACACTAAATGCTTATTTAAAAAGTTCTAATCTTGCCGTATTACTAATCAGCCTCTGAACGATGTGTCTTGGAGCTCACACCTTTCCATCTGCCCATGGTAGTTGTTTTTTGCGACTGGGTGTTCCTTCTTCTCTCTGAACTACTGTAGCTGCCATTTCTTCAAAATCCTTCTGTTCCCAGTTGGTTGGTGGTTTCTTGTTTTCCTTTGCCGTTCTCCGTCTCTTCACATCTAATGTGAGAATGCCTTAGGACTCGGGCCTAGCGTTTCTTCTTTTCTCTGGTACACTCATGCCCTAGGGGCTCTTCCAGAGTCATGGCTTTAAATGACTAGTGTTTCAATGTCAGTGACTCTCAAACTTATTTCTCCAACTTGGGCCATTCTTCTGAACTCAAGACATGTATATCAACTGCCTCTTTAGCACGTGAACTTTGGATGTTTACTAAGCATCTCAGACATAAGGCTCGCCAAAGCACCAGCTCTTCCTGCAGCTTCCTCCATCTTAGTAAGTAGCAACTTCCTCTTTCCAGTTGCTTAGGCTGTAAACCTGGAGCCCTCCTTACCTCCTTTCTACCTTTTGCCCTCCTATCCAGTTTATCAACAAATTCTGTTGGCTCTTCTTTGAACATATGTCCACAGTGTGACCACTTACCACCACCTTGACTGCTACCATGTCTCGTCATAGCCTGGCTGACCTCCCTGCTTCTGCCCTTGCCCTCTGCACTCCGTTCTCCACTAAGAAGCCTGAGGAATTCTTAAATCAAAGTCTGATCTTGCTAGTTCTCTTCCTAGAACCTTCCCGTGGCTCTCCAGCTCAGTCATAGTGACAGCCTTATGTCACCTGTCGTGCTGGTGTTTGGTCCCTGCTGCTTTTCTGATCTGTCCCTTGTTACTTTCCACCTCACTTACTTTTCTCCAGCTGCTTTGGCCTCCTTGCTTTCCTCAGACTTGCAGAGGCTTCCATGTCAGGGTGTTTGTGCTGGTTTGCCTGGAATATTCTTCCCAGGTATTTATGTGGCTTATTCCCTCATTGTCACCTCACTGTCACAGGGTATCAGCTCCAGGGACACCCTGTCACGTTTCTCTTAGGAGCTTGCAGCACATCTTCCTGCCTCATTTTCCTGCTGTATCACTTACTACACCATCAAGCATTCTTTATATTTTAATTGTGGTCTGTGTCCTACCACTGAAACGTTAGCTTCATAAGAGTAGCGATTATATCCCTGCTCGTTACTAAGTCAGTTCCCTAGAAACTGGCATATCATAGGTACTTGGTAAAAATACATGTTTCATGAATGTGGGCAGTCTTATGTTCCTGACTGGAATACTGATTCCAGGGCACCTGTGCTTTATTTGCGTGAAATAAAATGACAGCCGTGTGACAGTTATGGTTGGCAGTTCAAAGTTCTAGTGCCAACATCCTAACTATTGATACAGATGAATTTCCTCTCCCAAATTAGTGTTTCTGGAACTTTAGCTCCCTTTTACCTCCCCCCGCCCACCCCCGCCCTTCTTAGGAAGGTTCCTTGGTTTGTGAAATTTAAGAAACGTCATCAGTTATCATCCTCTTTGGACTTCACAACCTACATTAGCATATCAAAAGCCATGAGTACGTTTAAATTAAGGAAATCTTTAACTCAGAGTTTTCCATACTTAATTGATGATCGTATTGAAGATACCAGCAATTATAAAAATGCATTCCAATTTCAGACATGTTAAATCATGAAAAAAAAAAGTCTTCAAATTGATGAAATACACTGTAATGATATGCTGAGACACATACTTGGGAACTGAAATTTATTCTATCAAGGAGTTATAGATATACAAACCGAAAGATTAACAAAGGGTTAGTAACAGACTAATTAAAATAATGCTACTTCTTGTTCTGATATTACGTATGTCACTTTTTCAAACAGCTGATATGAATTCTTCAAAATCGGTGGGCAGCGATGCACCTTGTGTTGTAAAAGTGGTAAGAAAATATTTTAGCTGATTTTCTTTTTTGTTGAATGGGTGTAGTGTTTATAAGGATAAAGGATATTTTATATCCTTTTTGATAACTAGAATTAATTAAACCATAAGGTACTACGTTTTTAACAGTGTTTAATAAGACACAAAAGTATCTTTATAGTTTTAAATAATTTGAATTCAAAAAGTCCATTTCCTCTCTTTTAAATTAGAGTGATCCTAGTATTTGGGGGAAAAAATGAACGAAAGTATGGAGGTGTACAAATGTAGAATAAAAATATTCAGCTCATTCTTATTATTTCAGCTGTATTTACAATAGATGAGATACTTTCTTATTTACATCCCACAAGACCATACTACTTTAATGAAACTTTACTGTATTTTATCTAGCATTTGCTTCTGAACTTCCACTTGGTCAATCTTTTTTCATTTTATTCCCAGTTTTCTTCCCTTCCACATCCATTTTAGTAAATTATATATTTAATTGTGATCACTTTGAACCTTCTTTTTGCTCAACTAATGTTGAAATTGGTTTGTAATGAGTAAAGGTTAACAGCATCCCATCTGATATGAGCATACTTACACACTTATACAGCTTATGCACTGGTGCACTAAAAGGCATTTAACTACTATTTTTTGTTAAGAATATATGATGCATCTTTCTGCTTACAGACTTCCATTTTTAACTCTTCTCTTAAAGTTCTTTACTTGTGTGAAGAATATGTTTTTGTTAAATAATAGGAGAGATAACAGGGTCTGTTATTGGGGCAAATTACTATCATAAGTTCCCCATTTGTCCTTTTTTTCTAAGGGCTACAGAAGACAGAATTATCCTGGAATTTTGTGTGTTGGTTTATTTCATGTTCTTTTAAATGAGGAATATATTTGATCCCTTGTGAATTAAATCTTTTGGACCTGAATTGTTTTAGTGATTGTTTTTAATACTTTTTTTTTTTGAAGATTTTATTTATTTATTTGACAGACAGAGATCACAAGTAGGCAGAGAGGCAGGCAGAGAGAGAGAGGAAGGGAAGCAGGCTCCCTGCTGAGCAGAGAGCCCGATGCGGGGCTCAATCCCAGGACCCTGAGATCATGACCTGAGCCGAAGGCAGAGGCTTAACCCACTGAGCCACCCAGGCGCCCCGTTTTTAATACTTTTTTATTAAGGCATAGTTTTTACAAGGAAAACCATAATATATATTAAATAATTTGAATACTTTTGACAAGTGCCTATATCTGTACGGCTTCCACCTATATCAAAATATACAGCATTTCTGTCAACCCAGAAAGATTTCTTATATCCTTTTTTGGTTAGACCCCTACTTCAGGGACCCTTTGAGGTTTTATTTTGTTTTGTTTTGGTTTTTTTTTTGGTGCTGTGGATTAGTCTTGTCTAGAACATCATATAAATGGTATTATACAGGGTATACTGTTTTGTTTCTGACTTCTCATGCTCTGCAGAATGTTTAATAGGCTCATTCGTATTGTTGGTATGTCAGTCACTCATTCAGTCTTACTCGTCAGAATATTATATAGACATAGTCTTTTTTTTCCATTTCCTGTTGATTGTCAGTTTTTGGCTATTATAAATAAAGCTTTTATGAAAGTTTTTCTACAGGGTTTTTATTTTTCTTGGATAAATACCTGGAAGAAGAATTGCTGGTTTATAGGGAAGATGTATATTTAAATCTATAAGAAAGTACCAGACAGATTTCCCAAGTGGTTGTGCCATTTTGTGCATCCGCCAGTGATGGAGGAGAGTTCTGTTGCTCCAGATTCTCCAGAGTGTGTGGTTGTCGGGTGGGTTGGAATGTTTTGCCGCCGTGATGTTGCGTGTGTAGGAAGGTCTCAGAGTTTTATCCGATGGCTCACTTTGATTAGTTTTTCCAAGTAATTGTGCTTATTGGCCATTCATGTATTTTCCTTTGTGAAGTGCCTCCTCAGTTTTTGTTTGTTTGCTTGAAAGACCTAGGTAGTTTTACTCGTTATAATTGAGTAGTAAGAAAGTTGTTCTGGATGCGGGTCCTATTCCAGATGTGTGCATTGTGAATATTTTCTCCCTGTTTGTCGTTTGCGTGTTAGTTGAATGCTTTTTGTGCACCTTTTGAGGTGGATCATAGGATTTCTCTCCTTCATTCTGTTAATGTGGCAGTAATATCGACTGGTAATTTGAATGTAAAACTTGTATTCTTAACATACACGCCACTGAGTTCTGATGTATTATACTTTATACGTAACATTGGCATTGATTTGCCAGTATTTTGTTAAGAAATTTTCCATTTTCGTTCGTGAGGGATATTGGTCTTTGTTTTATCTAATATTTCTAAATTTTAAAAATGTCCAATCTCATTGTTTGGTTTTGGCATCAGGGTTATTGGCGCCTGGTCTCCTTTTTGCCCTGCAGAACCCTGAATCGCCTCCTTTTTACTCCTTGTGCCTCTGTGAGGAAAGCGGAGGCTGGCCTGGGGCTCACCGTGTTGGTTCCCCCCCGCCTTTTTAAGATGCTATTTATTTATTTACTAGAGCGAGAGAGAGAGTGTGTGTGCGAGCGGGAGGCAGGGCCGGAGGGAGAGAATGTCAAGCAGACTCCCTGCTGAGCGCAGAGTCTGACTCGGCCGGTCGCGGGACCCTGAGACTGCGGCCTGAGCTGAAACCAAGAGTCGGCCGCTCAGCTGTCTGGGCCTCCCACATGCCCTGATTTGTTTCCCAATTTTTAGAGGTCACAGTCTCTACTGCCGATTCTGTCTAATGTCTGAAAGGAGTGATTCCATCTGTTTTTGTCCAATTTTTACATTTGTTTACAGCAGGGGGCTAATTGGCTCCCAGTTACTCTGTCAGGCCTGTAAGTAAAGTTGATACCCTGATGGGTGTGTCCTGGCATTTCGCTTTTCTTTAAGCCCTTTCATTTTGGATTTTTCTCTCTCTTTGTGGACTAATATTTCTTTTGAAATATTTACTTGCTGCTCTATCAGAGGAAGGAAAATTCTTACTATTAAATTGAGTTGTTTATATGGAAACGCAGAATGTTATCTGCATTTGCCTTTGATATGACAGATTAAAATTAAAAAGCTAAGGGCAAGACTACTTTCTTCTTAGGATCTTTAAGAAGTTTCCATTGTGAGAAGAGAGCAAGTCCACTTATATATCTATGACTTCTCATAATCTTGAGGTTCAAAAATGTGGTTGGCTGTGACCACCTTGCAGCTGGCTAACCTGCACTGCCCTCCCCATGTGTTGGAAGGACAGTGCCAGGGCCGCACCTTATGGGTGGGACTGGTGGGGCACTGTCTTTCTTCTGGAGAGCCCGAGGTTCTCCCAGCCATGGTTTAGTTTAGAATGATGGTACTCTTTTTTATTATGGGTCATTATAAATTTTTTAGTTGTTACTTAATGTAACGTCACTTGTACTACCTGTTTTACTTACAGAGTTATAAAAAAAATGGGTAGGAACAAGTATTTCTTAACTGCTTAAAAAGGTAGTAAATTACTCTCTATTTCTAATTTTAAAGCCTTTTGTTATCAAAACTAGTTTAGCGCTCTGCATCTCTCCTGTCTCCTAATTTAGTTCTGTTTCCATTGGCTGGTATTACTCCTTCTCTTTGTAATGAGGACAATGATAAATATTCAGTCCATTCCTCTTTTGCATTTAATATCTCAGTAACATTTTCAGTGTGGTAGTTTGTGATCCTGGAAGAATGCCGTAAACAAATCAGTGTTACTGACGTTCCCTTTTCTCTCTCAGGGAGAGCCCAGTAGCTGCTATTGCTGATTCCTCTCCGGATCCTCATCCCCTCTGAACTCCTTGAAACTCTAGTAGCATTCATTCTGTTTACATTTATTTTACCATTTCAGATGCTAATATCCTTCCCAGGCCACAGTTGCTTTTAATCTTGCAAGTGTTTTTTTCCTTAGCTGGATTTCAAGTTGTTTTGTTGTAAACTTACTTTGTTGTTCTTGTTGTAAACTTGTTTTCTTTATGACGTTTATAAATGCCTGTTTATTCTGAAAACTTTGTAACCTGTAACCGTAATTTCCCAGCACCTTTTGATTTCTTGGGGCCACCCACTTTCATCTGCAGTCTGTGTCTTTTCAAGTAGCATCATTTGCCTTCACTTGTGGCGTGCTGTGACGTAGCTCTGTCCGCAACTACTCTGTAAGTCTTTGCTCTCAGAGCTTTATAATATTAAAGGTGGAAATGGTTTGTCAAACACAAACCTGTACAATGAGTGTCAGTTCTTTCCGGTGTGAAATCAACTGCTTATGAACATTGGCCATTTAAAACATTAGGGTCTATTAAAAATCATGTTTTCAAAGAACAGGTACTACTCTTTGGAGACATTTCATAAGTAATTACTAAAAAAAAAAAGCAAAATACAAAACTATTGTAGTATGGAGGTAATTTTATAAAATAACCATATATGTGAAGAAAATATGTCAAAATATTTCCAAATTTTCTAACATAAGCACATATATTATCTTTGGAGAAAAATCACCTTAGCAAATGTTATTTAAAAAATAATGGAAGACTGGGGCACCTGGGTGGCTCAGTTGGTTAAGTGTCTGCCTTCAGCTCGGGTCATCATCTCGGGGTCCTGGGATGGAGCCCGCATAACCTTCCTGCTCAGCTGGGAGTCTGCTTCTCCCTCTCCTTTGGTGCATGAGTTCTATCTCTCTCTCTCTCTCTCTCTCATATAAATAAATAAATAAATCTTAAAAAAATAGTCAAAGGCAAGTTGATTTTTAACGTGAAGTTAGACTTAATAATGCAGTGGCATATCAAATCAAACAGTGGTTCTCTACTAAGAAGTAGAGTGACTATACCGCAGTGGTAGTGCGCTATAATCAGAATCTCTGAATGCAGAGCCTGGTTATTGGTATTTTTAGTAAAGCTCCCCAGGGGATTCTTTTGTGCCTCAAGGTTGAGAACCGCTGGTAGAGTGTGGTGCACAGAGCACCTTAATTATTTTCCGTGGAATCATGCGTGCTCATGTGTACCTTTGGGGATCCTTTCATTCAGTGGAGGCGGCAGGTACCCCGTGCTTCTGTTAGGGCTTCCCCTTTGGGTGGAAGATTTGTCAGAAGACGTGGCTGCTGCTAATACGTGTCCCTGCTCCGTGAAAGAGCCTCTGATGGTTAACCTGCAGATTCTTACATTTGGTCTGGAAATGAAGTGAAGACAGACATATTCAAGATAGATATTTAGGTACATACTAAGTATTTTCTTTCTCCTACCAAATGACCGCTCTGGTTTTGCTTAGGGCCTTACTCTGTATTGACTTAGGGAGCAGCCTCAGAGTCATGGTGCTAAGGTCACCAGAGATGGTAAACTTGTATTCTTTGCCTTTAGATAACTGAGACACCCTGTCTGTATTTTATCTCAGGAAAGATGATGTGCCCCGAGAAATGGGAAATTGGTAATAAGTTGGATAATGCAAGAAGAAAAAAAATACTCTTTTGTGTTTTCTTGTTAACAGCCTTGATAACAAATTAGTTTTCAGTTATACTCCCCTTTTGCAGTCACGTCAGTGAGCTCAGAGCAGAACTGAGGGGGAGGGCGGACTTTTGGGTCTTGTACCCTAACAGTTCTTTATATCCTGGTCACTTTGAACGGACATAAAGTCTTTGTTTCAAAGTTCCGTGGCAAGAAGTTTGCAGACTGATGTTTAATTTCTTTCACTGACTTTATGAGAAGTGACCTGAATTTTCAATTCATATATCATAATTTTTTGGTAGGAAGGGGAAACTTTATACAGCTTCATTTTTAAATGGCAGCCAGTTGCTTTTAGAGGGTGCCACTGAAATATATCACATTTTAATTTTTTTTCTGTTGTCATCTTCATTTTGACACTTAGAAGTCTTAAAGAAACGTTTAGTGATATTCTAGTTAAAATGTCAGTCCCAATTTCTTTTCTAAATCTTGGCTATTATGGAGTTGGCAAAGTATTTTAGATTTGAAATATGTTAATAAAATTTTAGTTATGAGTTAAGGTATTTTCTTCCACAGAAATAGCGAGCTTTGGCCAGAGTGCAATGCCAAGGAAGTAGCTCCTTTATTTTGTTATAATGGAACCTTATTGGATTAGAAAAAAAGTATGAAATGAGCTCAAAGAGCCTTCATTGTTGTGGGGCTTTCATTATAATAGTCTGATTTATATAGGTTGATTCTTATTATTATAAGTTTAATAAATTATTGCCCAAAGGGAAGCTTGGAAATTAAAGTTGATATGACATAGGTTGAAACGGAATGAATCAGAATTTTATACTGATGGTAATAAGCCAGGATTTGTCTTAGGAAAACCCCTTTCAAACCTGAATTATATTAATAAGCTATTCTAAAAGTTAGCCTTTGGAGAGTAACTTCACCAAAATGTCTTCTCTTGAATTTCCACTACTTTCTTCATTTCTTTCACTGAGACTGCTGCTCCTGCTGAGGGCCTGCTGTGGGCCCTGAACAGGGACAGGTGTCTGTCCAGAGAGCATCGATGCCAAGGAATGAGCCACAGGTTATGGTGAAGCTTGAGGTACTGAGTCCAAAGATGAGGGACTTGCATTCATACCTTATGTGTTGGTTAGTTTCTGTTTCTTAAGAGGTGTTGAGATGCCAAGCCCTGTGTACCATTCTGTTTCAAGGCTGTGCTGACAAGTACACCTGGAACAAGGCACGTTTATTTTCAGGTTCTGGTCCATGTGTTGGTTATGCATGTTGCCTGTTTGCTGTTGACTGCTTGTTCTTAGCTAGGTGCTGCCCGATTCCTTGCAGATTGGCTGACCCGTCTTCCTATACGCACTTTAACTGGGGATTCCTGAAGCTAGTGGGCCTCATGGTCATTTCTTCTAATGCTCTGCTGACCTTGCAACTCCAGCTACACGGCTGTTCTGTCCAAGATAACTTTCTTCCTGCATTTCCTAAAGGAAAAGCAACCCTATAATTTGTTTAGAAATGTTAGCTTCCTTGTTCGAAGTTTTCACTGCTTTTCAGAATTTTTCTCGGGTTCTTGATAAACAAGATAATACCAACAGAAATGATCAACATGATATACAAACCACTTTTTTTTTTTTTTAAAGATTTTATTTATTTATTTGACAGACAGAGATCATAGGTAGGCAGAGAGGCAGGCAGAGAGAGGGGAAGGGAAGCAGACTCCCCACTGAGCAGAGAGCCCAGTGCTATGTGGGGCTCGATCCCAGGACCTTGGGATCACGACCTGAGCCAAAGGCAGAGGTTTTAACCCACTGAGCCACCCAGGTGCCCACAAACCACTTTTGATTCAGATACAATGTACTATTTAAGAAGTCCACAAAATTGTAATATCTTTTTTATCTTTCCATGTCTATTTAACAAGGCGCAAAACTCCCAACAGGCTGATATTTCTTGTTTGTCCGTGCCTTTTTGTGCATATATAATTCTTTACAAATCATTTTAACTGTTAGTAGCCTTTAAAATGTAAAATGAATGTAGTCTGGTAAAGTTGGTTGGAAACAGTTATTACTGAGCCCTAGTTTCCTCTTGACTTTGAATTCTCACGTGGGAAGGTAATCGTGGGGCTCCTTAGTTTGAAAAAGGCAGGAATCAGTGTCAGCAAGGAAGGGATGCCACTGAGTGGACAGTGCTTGCTCGGGGCTCTGGAGTTCCAGAAGATTCCCTTTGTGACAAGGTTGGTGTCTGCCAGTCCTGATCAACTAAATACAACTGTACTGAGAAACAGGGAAAAGAGTTGGATTTTGTCACTAATTGGTTAAGTCAGGTATTGGAATTTTATTGGATCTCAGAAACATCTGGTAGCCCCTTGGTTCACATGGTTGCCAATCATTGCTTAAGAGAAAGCTTAACAAAGATGAAAATGAGTTTAAAGATTTTTCTTAAACTCCTGCAAAGACAGTGCTGTTTATCTGATTTTGAACATTTTATCACTTACAGAAATGGACTTTGAGAAAAATATAAGATTCACGGACTCTTCTGAGAATATCTAAAACGTTTTGAAAGAGTGTGTGCCATAAATATAGTTACAAACTTAAGTATCACAATTACATTGGAAAGAAACACTGATGTTAGTGTTCTTTGAAGTTTCATTGAAAATGACTCCGTAATGTTAATGACTGCTAGCGCCAATAACCTCTTACGTTTTAAGGAGCCCAGTGACAACGGACCTCTCTTTACTGAACTGAAGTTCTACCAGCGAGCTGCCAAACCAGAGCAAAGTAAGGAGCACAGCACACATATGTCTACCTTGTTAAAGTGACCGCTGCTTGTTGTGTGAAGTCAAGACAAGGGCACTGGATCTGATATTATGATGCTTTGTTATATTTATTTTTTCACTTTTTAAGTAAATTTCATTTTAATGAGATTTGTATGAAAGAATTTTGATCTCTTACTGGGTTTGATATGATAAGATTTCATCTATATTGATATAGAATAAAGTTAGTTAGAGGATATAGGATTTAGGAAATATCATAAAAAATTGAGAAGTAATCCTAATTCATGCATGGGACTCCCAGTCTTTTTGAAAATTTTTTCTAAACTTTGGGGAACATAACCTGGGTGGAGGGGGGATGCTATAATTGATGATTTAGAACAGCCTGCAGGGAAGAGAGCAGGACCTCTTCAAGCTCCTGCCACCCCTTGAGTGTCATTTCCTGGTTACTGACCTTTAGAAATGAGGTAAACAACTTCTAGGTTAGGTAAAAAGTAAGTCTTTCTGGAGAAGTGAGTAACCATTTACATCATTAGCGCTCGTAACGACAGCTAGCATGCTGTGGTTGGATTTTCTTTTTTTTTAATGCCTATCGGAGATTTTTCATTTTAAAGACAATGTTTAGAGCAGGATAAAATTTTATATGTTAATAAAAATGCTTTGATTGAAAGGTACTTGTTATTGGTTATTATAATGTACTGTTCACTTTTTTATGAAAAAAAGATGAAATCTTATTACGTGTGCAGGTGCATTCTGCTCTTAATGATTTAAAAAATCATGTAGAAGAAAAGTGAAATCACAAGCCTGTGTTTTTTACTTGTAGTTCAGAAGTGGATTCGTACCCATAAACTGAAGTACCTGGGTGTTCCTAAGTATTGGGGGTCTGGCCTACATGATAAAAATGGAAAGAGGTAAAAATTTGCATGCTTTGTGTTTCTTCTCCCTCTTTTGATCACTCACTGTCCACGGTTTACTGAGCACCTGCGTTTCTGCTGGGTCTCCCTCTGGGCTGCGGGGCACGCACTTGGCAGAGACGAGCAGGACATGAGCCCTAGTCCGGAGGACTTGTGTGGAGCACTGGCACCTGCCTGGAGCCCAGCTGACGAGCAGGAACAGAGCAGATGCTCCTGCATTTTCTCCTCTTATAAATAAGCAAGCAAGCAGACGAGAACTCCATGTCATGTATGGGAAAGGGAGCCCTCCAGGCTTCAGTTTGGCCTTTTGTATTAGATACACGATCTGCCCGCAGCAGCGTCCTCTTTATGACATTTCAGCGTGGCTGGTGAGAGAAAACAACACGTATGAGACAATTACAGCCACGAAGTGCTCCTAAACTCTGTGACTCTGATTTGTTCGTGTCTTAGGAGTTCTGAGATTGGAGAGAGAACATTGCTGGCACTGCTGAGTTGGAGAAAACCTCCCGTGCTTTGGTGCATGATTGACATTTTTTAAAATACTTGCATGAATGAATGGAACTTCCTGGAGTAGGCTGGCAGCCGTCCGAGGAGTAGATTTAGTTCGGCCCTGGGGGTGTATTGGTTAGGGTGCTTTCAGCTGTAAGTAAAGGAAAACTTTGCTCTCTGATGTGGCTGTCAGGGGCCCCGGTTCCTTTATCTTGCCCTTTTGCCCTCCTCCGCTTGGCTTTGTGCTGTATTAATTCTCCACTGTACGGCCTCAGGTGGCTGCCCCATTTCTGGGCGTCACATGCAGACAGACACAGCAGTCCGCGGCAGTAGGAGGTATTGCTTGTTGTGTGTTTTCCTTTCCTGGCAAAGGAACCTCCCTTCGTCTCATGTTTCTTGGTCCGGGTTTTATCGGTGCTCGTTGTCAAACCTGCCACGGGCAGGGGCTGAGCGATCAAGCGGCTGGCACGGTGAAGCGCGCGGCCGTGTGGCAGGGGGACTGCTTGGACGCGGTTGCTGCTCCTTTGGGAAGGGTGCAGAGGAGAGGTCGTTGCTGGGTGGGCAGCCCGCGCTGTTTTATGTTTGGAAGTTCTTATCCTGTATCTGTATCTCTTAGGAAATAGGATGAATTTACTGAAGTGACAGCGTTTTTTTTACATACGGTTTGCTGGGACAAGTCTCTGTAGTTTTTATGAAAATTTCTGGAGAAGTCGGAAAGAACCAGGAATAATTACACATATAGCAGGGGTTCTACATCTGAAGTAATTAGAATAGTGCCGTGTTCAGAAGGCTTCAGTCCATGCTCACTGTTGTTATGATGGTCATCACTCATCTTAGCCCAGCTGGAAGGGACATTGTGAATGTGGTCTTAGTTTTTACTGATTTATGGAGTGATTTAACCAGTCGAGTCAGAATCTGGAAAACTGGGTAAAGATAAAAGTGATCCTCAGAGCATACAGTGAACTGTGTTACTGGAGTGAGGTGTTGCTTTTCAGGTACACATAGAAATGTCACTTATGGTTGTCGAATGTTGGAATTTGAGTGCCAGAAAAGACCTCAGCACGCATGAGGCCCCACGCTGTCATTCAGTACCTGTGGGAACTGGGGCTTACAGAAGTAATGTGACTCGGCCAAGGTAACATAGTGGGTTTGTGGCAAAAGCAGAGATCTGCCCGTTTCCCCAGGATATTTGTTCTTCGCTAGGTTTTGTCCTTTGAGTATTTAACATACAGCCCCTTTATACCTTTTACATAATTTTATGGAATTTAGTTATTGTGACAACATCTCTTTATAGTCTCAATTTTAGTAAAATGTTAATACTGCTAAAATGGACCCTAAAAGTAAAGAAAAACAGTCACAGACAACAAGCTAAATACAGAAACATAAATTAACTTCAGTTTGGGGAAAATCCGTGATACCAGTCTTACACGGATTGTTCTATCTTTCCTGTGAATGTATCTGCCAGCGTCTTGTCTGTGGACTGGTCACCTTACGTTAACCAGTGTCTCAGGAAACTCCCTGGCTGCCACCAGGAGGCCCTCAAGGCAGCACAGGGAAACACTCCCAACTCTTGAGATTTCTAGTTGGAAGAAGGGGTTTCAAACATTTGTCTTTCTTTCCTTCTCTCTCCTTTCTTCCCCTTTCATTCTGCTCTCTCACTAAACGTGGCCTTGGAAAAATTACTGTCAAGGGAGACTAGTCACCGCAAAGTAGGTTTTTTCGAGTTCTGTTTAGTTCATTGACTTTTCTTGTTTGTCTTTAGTTACAGGTTTATGATAATGGATCGCTTTGGGAGTGACCTTCAGAAAATATATGAAGCAAATGCCAGAAGGTTTTCTCGGAAAACTGTCTTGCAGCTAAGCTTGAGAATTGTATGTGAGCTACATTCCTCTTGTTTTAATCCAGTAAAGGCGAGTTGTGTTGAAGCTCGGTCCTCTGCTGGCTGGTGTTAGGTACTGCATTAATTTATTCTATATGATGCTTTCGTAGCTGGATATTCTGGAATATATTCACGAGCACGAGTATGTACACGGAGATATCAAGGCCTCAAATCTTCTTTTGAGCTACAAGAATCCTGACCAGGTAGTTTTATTAACTTTAATTTCTACTATTTAAAAGCTGTTGTTTGAAAATAAATATGGTTGCTTTGAACTTTTGAACTTGTGCAGAAGTTTTACTTTTTGGAGTAGATATGGTAATAATAATATTTCTTCTTGACGCTTTTATCTAGTTAACATTCTACACTTTTGATGCGATTTGTTGGCACTTTATCAAGTTGGCTATTTTGCCCTAAATAATATTCAGAAGAAGTGCTTGTGATACAAAATGAATTTCAAATAGCTATTTGGGGGTGGAAGCTTAAAATTATATAGTGCACCGATGAATTATGTTTGCCTGTCTGCTTTGTCATTTTTTTATTTCCTTTGTTCAAGAAATCCATCAAATATAAGTGTTCTGTTACTTGGAAAATTTGGTCTTTAACATGTTGATTATTCAAATCAATTGGTTTACAGAAATATCTTAGCTGTCTAAATTTGTATACCCTTAGTGTTTAGAATTCAAATGTGCATTTTTTTTTTTTTTTAGTTTATTACATTCACTGTAATTTTTACTTTTTAAGGAAAAGAGAAAAGCTAATGTTATTATACCTTTATTCAGATCAGTTTAGTTGGAATAGAGGGGTTTATACAATTTTCTTGAAGCTGTTTTCACAGTTTTGTTTAAATTAAGGTTTGGCTGGCACTCCTGGTCAGGCCACTGCATGGAATCGGCTCCATGTGTGTTCTTGCGTCTTATGTTGTAGAAGAAAGGGTTGTCTACATATTTTAAGTGTGTTTATGTTGACATTCCATTTTATTTTTTTCCCTCAAACCAGTCTTTAACTTTGTCTTGCCTAGCTTTCCCTTTCTCCTTCGCCTTCCCTTTATTTTCTACCATCTCAGGTATTGCCCCCAACCCCTGTCTTTGTCAGGGATCTCCCTGTACAATAGAGGAAAGTTGCTTAACTCTAGCATGCTCATGGGGAAATCTTACAGGCACTCACAGGACTCCTAGAGGTCTTGTGTTAGATGTTTTTAAAAAGGTTAAAAGCGAGCGAGCAAACAAACAGGACACACTGAGAACCTGAACCATAAGGATTCCATTAATTGAAATGAACTGGACGTATACAATGTAATAAATAAAAATATAGTTCAGTTTGCAGTTAGCTAAAATATGCTGCCTCTTGTTTATAGGAAAATATTTTTGCAGCTCTGTTATCCTTCGGGCATATGCTTTGGATGGGATTATTTTTCTGGTGTTAGATGTGTGTGCTAGATCTGTCCCCATATTTTTACTTTAGTTTCCTCTTGTGATCACATGCATACATTTCTGAGACAGTTACCCAGAATTGGAGTTGTGGTATGTGACTATGGAATAGAAGAAAGCCAAATTTACTGGCTTTGTATGCTCATCAGACCCACATGTACATGCCCACAGATATGTGCTATTAAATATTAAAATTTAGTTTCAATTATGAAACTTGACTTTTTAAAAAAATTTTATTTATTCATTTATTTGACAGAGAGAGAGAGAGAGAGAGATCGATCACAAGTAGGCAGAGCAGCAGGCAGAGAGAGAGGGAGAAGCAGGCTCACCACTGAGCAGAGAGCCCAACGTGGGGCTTGATCCCAGGACCCAGGAATCATGACCCGAGCCAAAGGCAGAGGCTTAACCCACTAAGCACCTGAAACTTGACTTTAATATACAATATTTAAATGGAGATAAGAGCCTTAGCTGAAGGTTATTCAGATCATTATTGTTATCCGAGATCTTTTTGAGAAATGAATTGATAAATTGATTATTTCATAAGTGGAGGAGCAGAAGAATAGAAAATAATTAATGTATCATGTGTCATCTAAGTCAGTAGTCTTATACTTGGTGTGGGGCTGTTGTTTTGCAACAAGTATTGGTTTCCTCTGTGCTCAATTGTGTTTTGGACTCTGAAGAAAAAAGTATAAGATTTATAGTCTTTGCTCAAGTTGAGGAAACAGGATTAATTACAAGTATAATATATTTACCTAAAGAAGTATACAGAGTCAGGTGATATTATCTGGACTATAGTGACATGGGCATTCAGCATTTTTCTTGAAATAAAAGGTCTTTCAGAATTGGGGCATGTGGGTGGCAAAGTCAGTTAATTGTTTGATCTTGGTTTTGGCTCAGGTCATGAACTCAGGGTCCTGAGATCAAGCCCTGCATTGGGCTCTGCACTCAGTGTGGAGTCTGCTTAAGATGCTCTCTCCCTGCATCCCTCCCTGCCTGTACACTCATGCACCCACTCTTTCTCACTCTAAAAATAAATAAATAAATCTTAAAAAAAAAAAAGTCTTTCAGGATTAAGTATTTGCTATTTTTAGCATATTGGATTTCACTTGTTCGGGGTACAATGTTGTGGTCTTGCAGATGAATCCACCCTCGAATGACAGTATTTTGTCTCTGGGCCATAGAGGAGTGTATGTGCAATCATTATGGCTTTGATTTTTCTTGGTGCTTGGACATTTGTAGGTGTACTTGGTAGATTACGGCCTTGCTTACCGGTATTGCCCAGAAGGAATTCATAAAGAATACAAAGAAGACCCCAAAAGATGTCACGATGGCACTATTGAATTCACCAGCATCGATGCGCACCATGGTGTTGGTATGTCAACAGTGCCTGACCAAGAAATATGCTGCTGACATTTCAGCTGGAGTCTTACATAGTTCCTGATTTTGTACAAACAAACAAGCAGATGAATCAGAATTGCACAGGCAGCATAGGGTGGGGAAAGGGTCGGGGGAGGAGGCCGGACTCCTATAGTTGCAGAACAGGGCCACAGCTCACTGAGGATTTCTTTTTGGTTCTGTTTAGCTTAGTCAAATGGAGGGTGTTTTTTTTTTCCCCCTTAAAAGTCTGTCCGTTTCTTAGGCAGCCACAATTTTGTAGCAGACAAACTGACTTTGTCACCTGAAGTCAGCCTGTTCCTTTAGCAGGTGGTTTGCCTTTCTGTGCCCAGCACTGTGGAGGAGCCGAGACCCCCAGCTCTCTGGGCTTCTCCGTAGCTTATAGCATTTTAGTGTCTTTGAGTTTTCCAAGGACAGTATTAAATGTGTCTCTGTTTTATAATTTATTTCCTAGACCAGCAGTCTTAGTTTGCAACTCTAGAGTTTGCTAGTTGGATTTTAAAGTAAGTCGTTAGGTGGATGTAAATTCATATTTTGATATTGCCCAATATTTATTCAATACTTTTATTAAACACAGGGATAAGTTTTGATGCAAAACAAGACCATAAGATTGACTGTTTTACCTTACTGGTTTATGTATATTTGAGACTGTTCCTCAACGTGATTTTGGTGCTTGGCCTGTTTCTCTTACACGCACAGCCCCGTCAAGACGCGGCGATTTGGAGATCCTTGGCTATTGCATGATCCAGTGGCTTAGCGGTCGCCTTCCTTGGGACGATAATTTGAAAGATCCTGACTATGTTAGAGATTCCAAAATTAGGTAAAGGAAAACTTATAATAAATTATTTTGGGCAAAATCTTGATAAGGTACATGTATTTAAGTCAGAATTTCTTGACGGATACTACAGTTTTAACTGCTCCTAATGTAGAAATAAGAAAGTACTTGCTACATAGGAAGAGTCTTTGGTCTTCTGTTCAGTTTGTTTTAGAAGAAAGGCTGTAGGCGGATTTAGGATGTAACACAGCGCCGCTTATTGTGCTATTTACTGTTATCAAATATTAATAAATTTCCATGGAGTAAACCTTCAAACAGTGATTCATTCTTTAACTTTTAACAGATACAGAGAAAATATTGCAGATTTGATGGACAGATGTTTTCCCGAGAGAAACAAGCCAGGTAGGACTTCTTAAATGCTTATATGGGTTTCATTTAATATGAAAAAAAGATGAAAAGTCATGATGTCTACAGCATTTCCTGTAATTTGAAAGCTTAGGTATTTGCAAGTGTAGTCATTGTAGTGGGGCCTGTTCTCATCACCACAGCAGTAACCTTTCCAGAGGTGGGCTAAAGGGGTCCTTGAACTTCCTTAAATTATTATTCAGCTTTCAGGAGAGAAACCAGATTTCTTTCATTCATTCAACGATTTTTTTTGTTGAGGCTTGATTGTGTGCCAGGGAGCATTCTAGGCACTAGAGATAGACCAGTGAGCAAAATAAAGCAAAATTCCTGTCTTTATGAAGTTTGCGCTCTAGTCGGGAGCGAGGGACAGTAAACACGTGAATGAATTGTACAGCATATCATGTGGTTAGTACTACGGAAAAAAAAGAAAGCAGGGGTTAGAGTTAGTGGGTGTGGGGATGAAGTGAGGAATAGAGTGGGAGGGAGTTGGAGTTTTAAATACAGTGGCCAGGATGGCCTTACTGAGGAGGTGACATTTGAGCAATCGGAGATCAGGAGTGAGCTGTGTGGAAGTCTGGGGAACAGTGTTGGAGGCAGAAGGCATCTAAGTTCCTGGTGTGCTTGCGGGGTGCGTTCTTCTAGGGCATCCATCAGAAGAGCTTTGGTTTTTACTTTGAGCAGGAGTATGAGGTTTGGAATAGAAGAGTGGCATCGATGTCTGCCTTTAAGCAAAATCTCCATCTCCTGTCCTGAGCATAGACTGCCAAGGGAGGAAGGCAGGTATGAACAGGAGCAGGCTCGATGGCCCCCCAGTAATCCAGGCAAGGGGAGTAGCAGTGGGGGTCTTGAGAAGTGGTCACTTGGCATATATTTGATGTGTTTTTAAGCCTTTGCTCATTTGTCTCCTTTTCAGGGAAGTCCACCCTGACCTCATGCTGTTTAAGATTACAGTCCTGCCACCGACACAGGAAATGGAACCATATAGGCTTCTCAGAGACCCCCCTTGTGCCTTCTACCAATCACAAGCCTTTCCCGCTGGCTTAATAAATAACTAGCCTAACTCCCAACCCCAAAGATTTGTTTGTGAGCTATGTAAAAATGTAATCATAGAGTGAACAACATAGAAAAAAATCCCTGTCCTCGTGACATTAACTTCTAGCTCTGTTAGAGTCCTGTTTCTTTTACTCAGTATTGGATTTGTGAAATTCATTCCTATTGTTGCATGGCTTTTTTTTTTTTAATATTTCTATTTATTTTTTTTAACTTTATTGATGAATATAATTGTATACATTTAAAGTGTACAGAGTAATTTGACTTACACTTATATCGTAGAATGATTAACAAGAACAAGATAATTAACACTTCTATTACCTTACAGTTAGCGTTGTGTTTGTGTGTGTGAGTGTGTGTGGTGAGAATGCTCAAGATCTGTTCTCAGCCACTCTCCAGTCTCAGTACCAAATTATGAACTGTAGTCCCCATGCTGTGCACTGGGTCCTCCTGGGACCCTGTTGTTGCACGTTTAACAGGGATGTGTTCGTTATCATTTCTAATAGTATTCTGTTGTGTTTATATCCTATTACCTATTCTGCTGTTGGCTGTTTCCAGTTTATGGCAATCACAGACCACCAGTTACACATATAGGTGTATAGTCCCCCCATAACTGATTATCACGCCTTACACGAAGAGGGGCCAGATTTCTTCCCCATCCCCATATTTATAAACAGTTGTTTATAAACAGTTCCATTGTTTATAAACAGTTGACCCAGTAGCTTTTCTTGAAAGAAACAAAAACAAAAACCCGCTCTTTCCATATGGTGCTACCTTTGTCTTAAATCAGCTGTGGATCTGTGGATTGGTTTCTGGACTCCTTTCTTTCTATTATTATTTTTGTCCCTTCTTGGGCTGCAGTGTCAGAATGATTTTAGCTTTATCGTGAGTCTTGACCTCTGGTCGTGTAAGTCCTCCAGTACTGTTGTTCTTTTAGCTTGACTTTGCTGTTTTGCAAATCTTGACCCTTTGAGTGTCTGTATACATTTTAGAGCCACCTGTCAGTTCCACGCACATCCCCTCCCTTTCCGGGTTGCTGGAATTTTGAGTGGAGTTGCACTGACTTTAGATCGGCTGATGTTCTCACGCTGTTTAGTCTTCCGATTCACTAATGGGGCGTGTTCTCCACTTCATTTCTTTCACTGTGTTTTGAATTTTGTCCGCAAAAAAATCTTGCCTGTCTTCATTGTATTAGTTGCCAGGTGTTTGATGGTTTTTCATGCCATTGTAAATGATCTGTTATTTTATTTTAAGATTTTATTTTATTAGAGAGTGCATGTGCATGAGTGAAAGGTGGGGCAGAGGGGGAGGGGAAGCAGACTCCCTGCTGAGTGTGGAGCCAGCTGTGGGGCTGGATCTCATGACGCGGAGATCATGACCCCAGCTGAACCAGGAGTCGGGGGTTTAACTGATTGAGCCACTCAGGTGCCCCGGAATTTTTTTTTTTAATTTTATTTTCCAATTGCTTGTTGCTAGTACCTAGAAAACAATTTTTTACTATTTACTTTGTATCCTGTGACCCTGGTAAATTTCCCTATTAGTCCCACTAGTTTTTTATGGATTCCTTAGGATTTTCTGCATACATTGCTGTATTTTTGAATACACCATTCCACTCTATGCCCTTTCTTTTCTTGTCTTACTGTACTGACTATGACACTGAATGGAAGTGGTGAACATGGACATGCTTGACATTTCACCCTCTCAGAAGGAGACTTTTCCATATGAGACCACATAAGGTGATGTTGCTTTAGGTTTTCCATAGATCCCCCTTATCAGGTTAAGAAAGTTGAAGGGAGGGATTCTCATTTATTTTTCCCTCATCTTTCTCAAGTACCTAGAATTGTGCCTGCTGCTGAGTAAGTGCTAGTCAGTGAATGAATGGAGGGTGTGTGTGTGTGTGTGTGTGTGTGTGTGTGTGTGTAGCACTGACACGATCTCTTGGTTTATTGCATGTGGGGTGTGGGAGGAGATTTCTGGTTTGAGGAGCTGGAAGAATGGAATTCTCAGTAACTGGGGTAGGGGAAACCACAGGGGAGCAGGTTTAGGGGTAGGTCAGGAGTCTGGATTTGCATCTGTTGGGATTCCAGAGGACAGTTAGAGATCCAGGAGTCAGTGTATGAGGCCATGGGCACACAAGTTCCTGGAGGCTGGTGGAAGGGTGAGGCTGGGGAATGTAGGAGTTGTTAGCCCAAACATGGATTTCTGGTGTTGAGGAGTATCGATCTTGACTAGTAAGATTTCTTTTTAGGGGAGTGGTCCTGCCTCAGCGTACAGTGGGTCTTTCATCATTCAGAAGCTGATTTTTCTCTTTTATGGGAAAACTAGGTCTTGCTTCTTTTTTCCTTTTTCAACCTGGTTTTGGTATGTTTTATTTCCCATTTATACAAAGAATGCAGCTGTTTTCTATAGAACTAATGGCTTTCATGGCAAAAAAAAAAAAAAATGGACTGTGATATTCCTTGTACTTTAGTACCTTTTACTTTATAATCTATTTGAGGTCCTTTCCTGTTTTGTTTTTGTACCCTTAAAAGTACAGCAGTTATTTCGTGCCTGTTTAAATTCTAGTATGTCTCTTATCTTTTGTCCCTTTTACATAATATCTCTTATATCTTATCTTTTGTCCCTTTTACATTATATCTCAAAATAAGTTTCTTATTTCACTACCTGACAATTCCTGACTTCGAAAACATACTTTCCATTGAAGAAGTGATTTATGTAAAAAACATGGTCTAACAGGATACACATTTGCATTCTAATGTTGCTATAACCGTGAGTCATTTTCTTCAAAGAGATAAATTTGTTGTATTTGTAATTAAAAAATTACAGAATAATTGTGTTACTCTTTTAGATGAGATTGCTAAATACATGGAAACAGTGAAATTATTGGACTATGCCGAGAAACCTCTTTATCAGAACTTGCGAGACACTCTTCTGCAAGGACTGAAAGCTATAGGAAGCAAGGATGACGGCAAACTGGACCTCAGCCTCGTGGAGAATGGAGGCTTGAGAACAAAGTCAATAACGAAGGTGAATTTTGTCCCTCAGTTATCCTTTGGCTTCCTGTGATGGTAATTGCAACAAACACTAATTTTAGGGAAATAAATCAGTAAAGAAAAGTGTGGCAGACTGCTTGGCAGTTACATATCTGTCACCATTAGGTAAAGGAACATTCTTTATGAGACATGAAAGATGTAGACGGTTGTAGAAGAATAGATAGATATCTTTTTCTTTTGTCCGGTGGCAAGGCTGTAAATTCCTGGAGGAGTCTAACTTGGCATACTGACATCTGACAGGGCGATTTGGATGGGGCACTCGATTCACGGCGTGGGTATTTTTTCCTCCCAGGCTACCTAGAAGGGATGGTCTTGTCTCTTAGCTCTTCCTCCTTTGTTGGTGGGCTCAGAGCGTTTCCATTCGAAAATTGGTATTTGAAAGTTACTATTTGAAAATGAGTGTTCGAAAGTTACTGTGTGAAAATTAACATTCAGAGGTTTCCTTGTTTGGTGGTGTTTACCATTTGAATGTTATTTTGCTCTTTATAGAAATATTATATAAAACTATGTATCTGCATATAAAGAGGTTAATTTATCGGAGAGATAGGTTAACAGTGAACTTTATGGGCAAATTATGGTGCAGGATGTAAATAACTCCTGGTATCCTTTAAAATTTAGATTTTACAGGTATGCACTAACTTACTGGTTATTATTAATAGTTAAGTTATTGATTAACTCAGAGATTTCCTCGATAGTTTGAAATTATTGAATAAAACGTGCTAGCTGCTTTTAAATGGGAAAGATCTACTTTTAGAAGAAAAATATATATATATATTTTAAAGATTTCATTTATTTATTTGAGAGTGGCAGTATGAGAGTGAGAGCACAAGGAGGGGGAACTGCAGAGGGAGAGGGAGAAACAGGTTCCCTGCTGATGCGGGGCTCAATCCCAGGATCCTGAGATCATGGTATGAGCTGAAGGCAGAACAACTGAGCCACCCAAGTGCCCCAGAAAAATATTTTTTCTACAATATTGACTATTTTTACTGTCATTGACTCTGTAAATTCCAGTAGATTCCTTTGGAAATCTTATATTCTGAGCTATGAGAAAAAGGGTTTAAAAACAAATTTTCTGTCTTTAAAATAAGAAGCAGCATTATTAAAAGGTTTCTGTAATTCTTTTTAACTTAGAAAGGAGATGGGAATTTTGAAATTGTATTTTGAATTTTACTTTTTGGCAAATAATAGGTATTTTTGTAGTTCCGCTCCAAAATCTGAATTAGACACATACATCTACATATACATTTTTTTTTCTTTTGTAAGTTTTGTCTTAATTGCATCGCTCCATTTTTGTGGTCAACAAGTGTGCTGAGAGCCACATCCAGCTCTGAAATGAAGAGGATAAAATGGCAGCCCGAGTGGAACTTTTCAGTAAGGAAGTGGACTGAGAGTTTGCATGTCTGTATAAACATACAGCATGGGTCTTCGTGCTCAGGACAGATTTCTATGCATTAATATTTATAGGTAGCTTTTGTGGTGTTTTCCTCTAAAATTTTGCTGATTGAGCTGTGAAGATCTCTGTTGCAGTGAGAACTAGTCCAGTGCCATACCCCTTACTTTGCAGATCGCTGTTACTTGGACTTACGCGCTGGAGAAAATTTGGTTTCTGCAGCTGGGCTGACTTCTAGCTGGATAGGTCAGTCTGCTGCAGAGCTAACATCTGTGACCTTAAAATTCTCCTGTGCCCTTGGGTAGTTCAGAAGGCTGAACATTTCCTGCTGGATCATCCCCTATGAGTATAAAGCTTTATTGAGAGGGGGAACAATAAATAACAAGTGAAGTATTAAATTTCCTTTATTAGTTTACTGCCCCCCCTCCCATAGCTGACACAGGGCTATTCTTTGTATTAAAAAGAAGTTGATAAAAGTTAAGATTAGGTAAGATCATGAAGCTGCTTGATGGTTATGTAACTGGAGGTGAGTTGGTAATTTGGTGGCCTTTTGTCTTGCATTTTAATGTGAAAGAGTTGGACCAGGCCAGTTTTCCTTTTTAAGGGTTAGTTAGTTTGTTTGTTTCTTTTCTTCTTCTTCTTTTTTTTTTTTTTTTTTCCCAAAAGCCCCAGAACATTTTCTTCAAATAAACTGTAAATACTCCACATTTAAAGCAGGTAAGAGCAGAGTTCCACCAACTGAGAAGTCAGGGGCTCTCTGCAAGGAAAAGCTTTTCCTTTGATAAGTTAGTATTCCCTCTCCCTTTTTTTTTTTTTTTTTTTTTAAACAAGGGGAATATAATCAAGATGTCGTTTTTTGCTCTGGTTGCTAGGAAGCTCAGAGTTCATTATGATGCTTAATCAGAAATTGTATTAATCCTTATAATTAGCATATATTCTCCTTTCCTTTTGTCATGATTTCTTAAAACTTTCTAAGTATATGCTCTTTGTATTTATGACACTCAAATCTCTTTCAGAAAGGAGGGATAGTTTTAATCAATTCAATAGTTATTTCTCTTTATGTTTCTGAGTGTTGTCCATTATGGTAAAAACCTATGAGAATTAATTAGCAGTGGACTGAAACAAGGTTTCTCTCCATTTTTAAATAACCATGCTTGATTATGGTACAGTAAATTTGGAAACTAGAGTGAACTGTGAATTTACGACTTGAAAATATTTTCAGCCTCAGTAGCCCAAGAGTTTTATTTAAAGCACAGGATATTGGGATGACATAAAGCTGAAGTAGAAAAAAAACTAAGTATCAATCTACCCTTAGGAAGTACATAGCCAAAGATTTTCATTGTTGATTAGAACTGAACACTTGCATTAGAATTGGGCAGTCTAGTTCCAGCAGTTATTGGATTCAGTGTGTACTCTTAAACCAACATTCAACAATATAAAGGTCTAATTTCTGTACCTGGTCTAGGCTAGGTCCCTGGGGCTATAAAGATCAATAGCATGTAGTTCCTTCCTTAAAGAATTCCTCCCTGTCCCGTCTGGGTTAAGAACAGCTTAATTTACTGGAAAGAAGTCAGCAAGTTAAAAGGACATTAATACCTCCATTAGCTATTTTCTTGTAAGGTTTTGATTAAGTTGCTTGCCCAAGCCGACAAAAAGGGCTGTTCATTAGAATTTCTCAAGTCTCATCCCTGGAGATTCATTGAGTAGGTCTAGAGTGTGGCCCTGCGATTTGCATTTTTTATTTTCAGACAGTATATGCTGTTGTTTCCTATGAATGACTCGCACATACCCTTCTCTCCACTCCCACATTTTTTAGTTCTTTTAAGTTATATTCTAGCTGGCCTTCCTAGAGTTTCTCTGAAAAATGATTAACCATTAAATAAATCCCTGCTGGCACTCAGCCTGGAACATGGTACAAAGAGACAAGTACTAGTAAAGGCCTTCCCTTGCCAACCAGTGGCCTGGGCTGCTCTGGCGGACAGCTTCCTGTCTCTTGAGGAGACGGTACCCCAGGCAGCCGGTAGTTTCACTTAGATAGCCCCGGATAAACCTTGGGAATTTGGTGGAAGTCTAACTTTGGTTAGCATGCTAGAATAATAGAGACAGTATTTTCCTTAGATTAATTTAGATGGTTGAAGTCGAGACGTTTCTTTCTGTTTTCTGATGGGGATTTAGCCTTAGTTATCTATGCAAGAGGATTCATTGTTTACTAATGATTCTTTCCTTAGGTGCTTGAGCTCTCTATTTTAAAGCTTGTTTTATTTGGCTGGATTTTGTCAGGTAGCTTTTTTCCCCTATGTATATACATATTTTGAAAGATTTTATTTATTTATTTGTCAGAGAGAGAAAGCTTAAGCGGGGGGAGCAGCAGGCAGAGGGGGGAAGCAGGCTCCCTGCTAAGCAAGAAGCTTGATGTGGGACTTGACCCCAGGCCCCCACAATCATGACCTGAGCCAAAGGCAGATGCTTATCTGACCAAGCCACCCAGGCATCCCTTTTCTCTTTATTTTTAAGTCAGATTATGACATATGTACAGAAAAACGCACAAGTAAGTGTGCAGTGTGAACTTTACAAAGTGGGCATACACATTTAAACATCCCCCAGATCAAGAGCCCCAGAAACCTCTCTCAGGCTCCCTCTTGGCCTTATCCCTTCATTAAGAATAACTAGTGTTTTAACTGACAACACTGTAATTTTGCCATTTAAAGAAAATTCATAGTAGTAGCACCATACAATGTGTACTTTTATTGGGTCTGGTTTTTATTCATTATATGTCTGAATTTCCATGCTGTTGTGTGCAACAGAAGTTTTCTATGTCTTGTTACTGTTTAGTGTGGCACTCCATTATGTGAGTACGTCATAATTCCTTGATCTCTTCTGTTGGTGGACGTTTATACTGGTTCCGGTTTCTGGCAGTTGTAGTAATGCTGGTTAAGAACATTCTTGTAATTTCTTTTGGGAACTGCATGTATTTATTTCAAGTGGGCTCTATCTGTGGCAGAAGTACTGGGGTAGAGGCTTACTTAGGTTTAGCTTTCGCAGGTGCCGCAAGCAGTTTCTCCCAGCAGCTGTCCTAGTTGATGCTCTCACCACCAGCGCATGAGAGGTGCCGTTGCTTGTCAACACTAGATGTTGCATTATATTTAATTTTATCCACTTTGGTAGATGTGTACTGGTGTTTCTTTGTGGTTTTAATTTAATCTCCTTTATAATATTGATTTTGAATACCTTTTCATATGCCTCCCCGTCTCCATTGCCCTTTTTCTGTAAGGTGCATTTCAATTCTTTTGTTCATTAAAAAGGGGGAGGTTGTCAGTTCTCTTTTGATTTGCCAGACTTGACTACTTTGGACATATACAACCTATGTATTACACATATTTTTTTTTACAGTTGGTAGTTTGTCTTTTCATTCTGTTAATGTGGTAATATCTCTTGATGAACAGAAAGTTCTTTGTTTTAGTGAAGCCTAATATATCAGTCTTGTTTATGGTTAGTCTTTGTATTCTATCTTGGGAAAATTTTGTCTACCAAGATCGTGAAGATATTCTGTTATTATCAAGAAATATTATCTTTTATATTCAAGT